TGCCACACATACAATTTCTGTGGCTACGTTGTGGCTGCTGTACCCAATGTGGCGCCGAGCGTGTCTGGGCGCCGGTGATGACTAACTAACGGTGAAGGACAATTGGCGGGAAATCGTTTTAACTTCTGATTTATGACTAATGGTTTATTGTAGAATAGCCATTACATATAGCGCGGTGTAACATCCGCCGATAAAATAAACGCGAACGTACTTCTACTTAGCTTTAAGAGATCGTGCCACACATACAATTTCTGTGGCTACGACAATGTGGCGCCGAGCGTGTCTGGGCGCCGGTGATGACTAACTAACGGTGAAGGACAATTGGCGGGAAATCGTTAAGTTTGCGAATAAATGTTACTGGTTGATTCTGACTCATAAGGCGGTTTTATACAAACTTAAATGATTGTTTAGAAAGTATAGATTACAAAAGTAGAGACGTGATTGCGTGCGTACACGGCTCAGATATCGGTATCGCATTGCTAGATTAGAATACGGGAGACTAAGAAAATATACACTATGAATATTTATCTGACGACGCTAACAATTATCAAATAACATGAACAGTAATTGATATCGATGTCGCAGTGAACACAAGGTAATTCTTAATCTTATCGAGTCTTAACCTATAAACTATCGCAGAGGCTTACACGAGGTCCGCATGCAGAACGCCATGACACCAGAGAGAGGGAAGGAAAGGAAAGCCGGCAAGAAGAATCAACTCGAGCGCCGCGACTGATGTTTGCAGCGCCGCAACTAACGCTCGCAACGCCACAGTACTCCCCTTTCAGTGTAAACGTTAAGGAAAGAAATACTGTTTAAATTATCGCTAGAACGAAAATAACAGAAAATAAAATTAAATGAAACAAACAGAAACTTATGCTTGTAGATTGCTTAACGTGATATTGCGCGAATTAATCCTTAAATTTAACAGTCTTTCGCTTGGTTGCTAAACCAGGATATGTCTTTGGTTCACATTGAACTGGAATGTTAATTGAAGACGGGGACGCAGTGGACGGAGTAGTTTCTGAATCTTGAATTGTTAAATAAGCGGGCTTAAGTCTGTCGACAGTGGCGTTGATGCATTTGCCGTCGACTTCTATAGCAAAGACTTTGTCCGAAATGAGCTCTAATACTTTATGCGCTCCGGTGTCCGGTGACGTTTGTTACCTTCTACTTTGACGAAGACATGAGAGCAGTTATACAAATCTTTATGGAAAAAAAACTTAGGTCTAATGTGATGAGAGATTGGTCTAGATCATAACTTTTGCATAATTACGCCGAAAAAAAATCCTTGACGAAAATTCGTGGCTCGCTCGGCATTTCTTCAGAGGAGGAAAACTCACCCGGTATTTTGAGCGTAGTGTCGTAAACTAATTCCGCTACAGAACTGCCTAGATCCTCTTTGAAACAAGTTTTCGGTCCGAGTAATTCTAGCAGTGTATCAGTCCATTGAGTTTCACCGTGGCACATTAATGTAGTTTTTAAAGAGCGATGCCAGCGTTCGATGATTAGATTCTGGATGGTATGCAGTTGTAACGTCCAATAACGTTTAGAACCGACGAGTTTGGTTAATGTGTCGAACAGCTGCGCTTCGAATTGCGAGCTCTGATCAGTCATGATCAGGGCGTGGACCTCCAAATCTAGTTACCCAGTGAGTCATCGCCACCATATTTGCTGTACAATTCTGTAATGAAATAGCTTCCAGTCAACGAGTAAATCGGTCAATCATTGTTAATAAATACCTGAAACCTTTGGAATGAAGGAAGAGGACCGACGATATCGATATGTACGTGCTCGAAACGAGTATCTGGTACTGATATTTTGGTAGGCGAGGTATGGTTATGCCGATGAATTTTAGATTGTTGGCATGCTAGACAAGTGTGGGCCCACTCTTTAATGTCTTTAGCTATGGAGGGCCACACAAAATTTTTGTACAATTTGTTGGTGAGTTGCTCTGCTGCTTGGGTGAGACATTTGATGCATCATGTCAAAAACTCATCTTCGTAATGATCCAAGAATGTAAGGCCTGGTTTCTTCTTCTGAAGTGTCACAATAAATGTTGGATGTTGTTTCCGATAAGGTAAACTTTTTGAGCTTCAAAGACGTTGATGTAGATTGCTTCAGTTGTTGCAATTCGTCATCCGAGGCTTGAGCTTCTGCAATCTCTTGCATATCGAGACTAGTTGGCATCACGACAGTATCGACGCGAGATAATGCATCTGTTACAATGTTTTCGGCACCTGAGACGTGACGTACATCAATTGTAAACTCCGAAATGAAGAGTAATTGGCGGGTTTGTCTTGGCAACATTTGATCTGATTTCCTCTTGAATGCGAACACGAGGAGTTTATGATCCGTGATAACATGAAAGTTTTGTCCCTCTAGCATATATCGAAAATGTTTGATAGTCGCATAAATAGCTAATAATTCTCTACCATATGCGCTATACTTTGTTTGCGTAGGAGTGAGCTTCTTTGAAAAGAAGCTGAGTGGCTGTACAAATCCGCTGTACTGTTGCAATACCACACCGATTGCTTTGTCTGAGGCGTCTGTTTGCAACGAGAGTGTTGCCTTGCTGTGGAAATGCGAGCGAGGTGGCTTGAGCGAGATGTTCCTCGTTGTTTGAGCTTAGGAGTCTATCCTATTTTCGCATTGTTGTTGCGTTTATGTCCCGAGATTGCATTTAGCAATGGTGCTTGCATTTTTGTGAGATCTTTGAGAAATCGATTATAGAAATTGAGCATTCCTAAGAAATGTCGAAGTCCTTTGTGGAAATCCAACTGTAACTGGTTTCTGAAATTCAACGATAGTTTGGACTTTTTCAAATAAAGGTTTGCTGCCCTCAGCGCTGATTGTGTGTCCCAGGAAGCTAATACTTTTCTATCCGAACACACATTTCGGATTGATTGCTATGCCATGCTCTCTTGAAGTCTATCGAACAGTATTTTTAGATGCTCCTTATGCTACGTTTCGTCCTGCGAAGCGATTAAAATATTATCTATTAGGTGTTGGAATTAATTCGTAGCGTTTTACAAGAGATGGCACAAGCAGTACACTATTTCGTTGTTACCTATAGTTCTGTATACATTGTAAACATCTATCATAGGACGTCATTTGCCGTACATAACCTTTCTTGAAATCATAAATAACAATACTGTATAATTCATTGAATATGTCAAAATTTGTGCCAGATAAAATGTTTTTGCGGGGAGTTTTGCTTCATTACTTTAATATGAACAAAAGTGCAGCTGAAGCTCATCGTATTTTAGTGGATGTGTATAGTGAACATGCTCTGGCTGAGCAAACGTGTAGGAAGTGGTTTGCACGTTTTAAAGCTGGTGATTTCGACTTGGATGACAAGGAGCGACCTGGTCAGCCGAAAAAATTTGAAGATAACGATTTGCAGGCACTGCTCAATGAAAACTCATGTCAAACACTTAAAGAATTATCTACGTCATTGGAAGTTGACTTCTCAACAATAGGAAAACGTCTTTTATGACAATCCAAAGCGCAGAAAGTCATGGGTTAAGCCCGGCGAACCATCAACATCAGTGGCAAAGCCCAATATCCATGGCTCAAAGCTCCTGCTCTGTATTTGGTGGGATCAGAAGGGTGTCATATACTACGAACTGCTAAAACCGCATGAAACCGTTACTGGAGATCTCTACCGACGGCAACTGATGCGCTTGAGCCGTGCATTGAAGCAAAAACGGTCGGAATACTTCGAAAGACACGATAAAGTCATCTTGCTGCACGACAATGCTCGCCCACACGTTGCAAAACCGGTAAAAACATACCTGGAAACACTTAAATGGGAAGTGCTACCGCACCCGCCGTATTCTCCTGATATTGCACCTAGCGACTACCACTTGTTTCGATCATTAGCTCATAGCTTGTGCGAGCAGAAGTTCACATCTTACGAAGATTGTACAAAATGGTTCGATTCCTGGATTTCATCTAAAGATGAACAGTTCTTCCGACGCGGTATTCATTCACTGCCCGAAAGATGGTCAAAAGTAGTAGAAAGTGATGGGAAGTACTTTCATTAATGTATTTTTTAATGCTCATATGAAATAAATAACATTCTTTCATTAAAAAAACGCTACGAATTAATTCCAACACCTAATATATAAGTAAAACAGAAGTCAAGTCCTAGTTACATAAATCGGTCCCGGTACATAAATCTTTGAAAAGTTTGTACTGCGTTACGAAGTCCGAATGTCATATAAGGAAATTCGAAAAGTCCGAATGGTGTAATGATTGCGGTTTTCGGAATATCCGATTCGCGGATTGGAATCTGTTGGTATGCGCGCACTAAATCTATCGTAAAGAATACGGTTTTGTTATGCAGGAAATGTGTGCTGTTTTGCAAGAACGGAATTGAGTAACGATCTGGCACGGTTACCTCATTGAGTTTGCGGTAATCTCCGCACGGACGCTAATCGCTATTCTTCTTCTGCATAAAATGACTAGAGGACTAGCCCAAGGGCTCTTGGAAGGTCTGCATAAGCCTTGTTGCATCATGTACTCAAATTCTTGTTTAGCTGCCTTGAATTTTTCTGGACAGAGTCGTCTGGCTTTATTTGACACAGGAAGACCCATTGTTTCGATTACATGTTCCATTCCGTGTGCGGTTTGTTTGTGCGTGATCGACATTCTATTTCAGGAAACTTGCTTAGAATCTCTTCTTATGGGCAGTGTTAGCGCGTTGACTATCTATGTTATCAATTCATCGATCTAAACGCTCCATGCCCGCGCGCGTTAGTAGATAAGTCCCGTCATGGTAAGGCCCGTTGCCGAGAGAGAGAGAGAGTTGCCTCGTGTATACGGCGCGACAATAGCGAGATAGACAAACGCTGAGTCACTTCCATGCGAATCGAGAAAACGTGCAGAGGTCCGCGATTGCCATTTAAACATAAAGTTAATTAAAAGTGAATTGTAATCGAGTCAATTATCCATACACAACAGATAGTCGTCGGAAAATCGGCTGTTAATCAAGGAATAGTTATGCTGACAAGCTGAGCAGAGACTTTAAGAAACATGTTACCCTCGATTAAACGCTTGTGCCGTATGTCAGGCAGCAAGTTGAAACATGCTAGAAAATCTGAGCCGATAATGAAGGTGTCCATTTCGACGATTATGAAAGGCCATTGAAAAATACGACGGAATCCCAAATCAAGCTGGAGTAATTTTTGTCCATAGGGATGATCGTTCCGTTTACAGTGTAGAGTACCTGTTTGTCAATATGAGTACGATCGCGTCTTGAGACAGGAATGGTCGAGACATCCACTCCAGTGTCCATCAAAAATTTGATGCCGGTGACACGGTTTCTGACTATGAGACGGCGAGTTGCCACGGCCAAACTATCTGCCGTCGGGGATAGTTCAGCTTCTATTTTTCCTGTTAGCTGGCTTCCAGCTGCAGAATTGCGTACACTTGGTAGCTTTTCCGTTGATGATACCAGCACGGCTTGCTCTCCGATTGTGACTTTGAACGGTTTCTGCATCGAGAATTCCGCGTGATCTGTCGCGAGATAAACGAGTTTCCAATCTCTCTATTCGATCTAAAAGCCCAAATATTTGCGAATCTGCCAAATTAGCTTTTGTCGATGTAACTGCTGCGACAGCGTTAACGCCAGTGGATAGTACGTTTATTATTCGATCTGCTAGTTGCGATAGCTCTTCGAGTTCGTGCTTGTTAACTGTTAATAGCCTGCACTTGTTGTGGTAGGCGCTGCAGCCATAAAAATTTAAGCACTTTTTCTGACACGCCATTTTGCGCAAGATCTCTCATCCGACGAAGCAATTGCGACGGGCGGCGGTCACCTAGATCAACCTCGTTTAATAACCTACGCAGTTTCTTTTCGGCGCTATCCGCGAAGCTTTTAACTAACCTATCTTTGAGCGCGGCGTATCTATCCATCGCAGGCAGATTAAGTATGATATCGTTAACTTCCATCAAAGAATCGTCGTCAAGACACTGTATCACATAATTGTATTTCGTCTACAGTTATATCCGCGGTGAGAAATTGAGCTTTTATCTGTACGAACCATAAGTCTGGCTTCGATTTCCAGAATGGCATGGATCTGATTCCGACTCGCGTAAGTGTAGGCACTTCAACTATACGCGACGATGCACTGCTGTCCTGATTGCTCGAGGAAAAATCACCTGAGCTACTAGCCATGTTTGTGGCTTGTTAACACGCGCGCGTTAGGTTAAATAGAACGCTACGCAATCACGTCGAAGTCACCAGTTTATAGCTACGTTGTGGCTGCTGTGCCCAATGTGGCGCCGAGCATGTCTGGGCGCCGACGATGACTGACTAACGGCGAAGGACAATTGGTGGGAATTCGTTAGGTTTGCGAATGAACGTTACTCGTTGATTCTGATTCATATGTCATAAGGCGGTTTAATACAAACTTGAATGATTATTTAGAAGGTATAGATTACAAAGATAGAAACGTGATTGCGTGCGTAAGACGGCTCGGATATCGGTATTGCGTCGCTAGGTTAGAATACGGGAAACTAAGAAAATATACACATACATGATTATTTATCTGACGACGCTAACAATTACCGAGTGAAATGAGCAGTAATCGATGTCGATCTTGCAGTGAACACAAGGTGATTCTTACCGAGTCTTAACTATCGCAGAGGCTTACACGAGATCCGCACGCAGAACGCCATGACAGAGAGAGGGAAGGAAAGGAAAGCCGGCAAGAAGGACCAATACGCGACTAACGCCACACTATTTAGACTGCACCTGACATCTCTCCCACCACGAGCGAACTAGCAATACGATTATGGAAGGAGTTTTTGGAATGTTCACAGGGCATAAGGAAGCAGAGCAGAGAAGTAGTGCGCGTCATACAGGGTGGACGCGCGGAAATGGAATCTCCTTCCACTTTAACTTACTAAAAATACCGTGTGCGAACGTAATGCTAAGCCGAACGCGACGTCCTCGCAATTTCAATTTCTAGAAATTTCAATCTCGGTCTTAACTCAAAACGTCAATCCAATTTCTAAATCATAAGTACTAATTATAAGAGATAATCTCTATGTTAACTTAGAAGTAAAGTAAAGCTGTCCTAGTGTAAAATTAGTTCTTAAAAGTTTAATCAGTGTAAGAATCATTATTAAATATATTCAATTAATCTTATTAAAGCGTGTATTCCATGGACATCTCCATACTCTTAATTAATTCATTCTAACACTAATAATAATATGATCACTATCGAATATTAACAAAAGGTCGCGCGCATCCTTTAATGTGACTCAAATTGGCAGCCAAACCTTTCCAAGGAGCAGTAGAAGCCTAGACGCACACCTCCACTGGCATTTAGGAACATCGCAGAGTATCCATCCGAGGTATCTCAAGATAATGAAATCTCTACACCTCGTTAATTGAAATTCGTCATAAATGAACCATAGAGCATGTGTCCTATCCTCCCGCGTTTGCGCACTTCTATCGATGCTCGACTTTATCCGTTGATCCGTACATCGTGTGAGTACGTAGCGGCCGTTGTGCAACGCTTTGTTCCACCAACATAAAGAAAGCGAAATAATTAAATGCATCGAATGTTATACCGCATTATTGCCTTCTGGAAAGGAGAATTATTATAGAGTTCTGCATCATTACATCCATTTGAGTTATCTCGAATGGCTCGAGACCTGTAACGCAAAAGTCTGTGCTCCCTGTTTTAGTTGTGCTGTTAATCGCGCTTGGACTATGAGCATTAATAGAAAGGTGATCACTCCTCAATTTGAAAAATTTTCGAGGGAACGAATCGAAGTACTTGGGTATACAATTTCATGGTATGTCGCAGCGATAAATGATCATGTGACTGAATTCTCCCTCTATTTTCTTACTTTCTTGTCGCTAGCGATACTGTTGAAAAATTGGATTAATTCAACTCAGAAAGACTCAAAGGAGAGTGGAGTGGATAGCGTTCTCTTCTCTGATTGGTTCCACCATTTATCCGCTCACTTCCGCAAAT